CTTGATATTTTTGCTGTACCAACCACAGCATTGACAGCACTTTGTCAGTGCCAACCCGAATGAGCCCTACAAATTGAATTGAATTACTTAAAATGTAACTTATTGACGTCTAGACATTTCTGCATTATCCTTTTTTTAGCTGCACTGAGAGACTGTCATACAGACAGAGAGAGAGAGAGAGAGAGAGAGAGAGAGAGAGAGAGAGACAGACAGAGAGGGCCTTCATCCTGACCTGTTTTGAATAGAGCGAGGCTGACATCCCGTGTGCCCGACTATCTGTGTGATGTTCTTGGCCTCACACCAGGCGCTCTTGTCAGGGAACAGCGCCAGGCGGTTGATGTGTGCAGGCGGTGCCGCTGAATACAGTGCAAACAGTGCGCAGCAAATCTGAATCCTCTGCCACATGACTGCACCTAAAGGGGCAGAAAACTACAGCATGTTACCGCTCTGTTAACCTTTTTCAAGACAAAAACACACACAAGAGTACTGACAAAGTCTTGACATGTCCTCTGGTGTCTACTGCTCAGATATCGTCTGGTTTTACAGATAATATGAAATATGAACTTTGCATATCCCTGCTGATGTGGATTGACAACTTCCTGGTGATTACCAGCTTGAAATCCGGAGGTCCAAGTGCCTCATATTTTGTCCAGTTATTAGGTTTGACTCATTTGAATGATTAAAAGAGACAAATTCTTAATTATCTAAATCATCAGCTGCAGAGAGAACAACATTATACTGGGTTCATATTGTCCCAAGAGAGACAATATGATTGGAGAAGGAGACAAATGTCTGCTCAATATCACCTGACTAATAACAAAGCTTGCCTATGCCCTCTTTCACTCTCTTCTTTAAAAATGCCTCAAGCAGTCACGTCATTTACAACCTACAACATAGTTTTCTCCTGCTGCTTATAAAAAAGTGGCTAGAGGTCACCCACGTTGACTTCTTTACACTTTTCAGCACTTCCATATGCCTCTGACACAAGTAACCTGACCTTGCCTGCAGACAATCGACAGAGCCATCCTTGGCTATATTTTAGGTTTCAAACATAAAGGGGCTGCTGGGATGTACTGCTGTGAGGGGGGAAGGACTTAGTTTAATAAATGTCATTTTTTTTCTTTCTTTTTTTTCTGAAGAGTTCAGGCTTAGATTTTGTTCACAATGGTGTAAATGGGTTTGTAGGCCCTGTTAAGCTTCTTCAAAGGCAGCATACTCTGCAGACTAAACAGTTAAAGTGGTAACGCGTTACAGGAACTAATTAGTGACTGTTTCAAATACGATATGCGTATGTTACGCACTACAAAATATCAATAACTGAAAGTATATTTGGTATCTTTCATTATTGAGACGATTAAATTTGAGTATAGTCTCTCGTAACGTAAATGTCTGCAGTAACGTAACGTAACGTAACGTACCGTAACGTAATAGTTAACGTCAGTTAGTTTTCTTCAGTTCTGTTTAACGGCGGATACAATGTAAAGAGTTGCCAAGAACTCTCTCTTCATTAAGCAGAATATCCACTTCTATTGAGTCATATAGGTCAGGCAACTGCGGTTTCCCTATTTTTTTTTTTTTACAGGCAAATTCTGAGTTTTGCTCGAGTTAACGTTACTTCGATGGGAGAAGTTGCAACCGTCATTTTAACAAGTGTAACATCAGCTAGCTAACTGGCGGAGGGAAAGTGAGGAGAAAGTAACGTAACATGTCGGAGGAGGATTAGCTAACAAGTGCACCATTAACGTTACTTTTCAAACTAGTAATTAAGTACTTTCTAAGTAACGAGCCCCGGTAGTGATCGTAGTTGAGACACTTACCACCGCTCACCGACCTCGGGGAACAGCCAGTTGAGCACTGCGCAACGTCCCGCTGAGCTGAGCCCCCTCACAGAAACCTAGACGTGGGCTCTTAAAACCAGAGGATGCGGCTTGTCGTTGGATATCACCGTGCTCTGATAATTAAAGGAAAATATGAGCACTTCGTGAGCGGCTCGGTCTGTCATAAAACAGTTACATCATCCGGAAAGAAAAAAGAACCGTCCGTCCGACCACGGGGAAGGATGGGGAGATGGGTTCGGTTATGAGCGCTATCTCATCTCCGAGTCCATCAGCTCAGACCGTCCCTCCCCTTTGTTCTCTTCCAGTCCAGTGTTAAATTCCCATGTAAGTCCACTGAAAAACACTTTCCAAGCTGTTGTCTTTTGTTGTAAAACGCTCAAGCTGAGGTTAGGCGCGGTTGAGCCCTCAGACAGGGGTCCTGCTGTGCAGTCTCTGGACGAAAGAAAACGGGGAGGGAGGGAAAGTGTTGGGAAGGTTTCAAATGTTTCCCTAAGTTGGAACGAGGCGAGACCGCAGATCAGATTTACTGGACAAATATGCAAAAATAACAAGATTACACAGATAGGACATATTTACAGCCATGTGTTAATGCAGACATATCTGGAACTGGTTTGCAAACCTGTTATTATATTTTAAAATGGAAACATTAATAAAACAGTATAATAGTGCAGTACAACTGGAAAACAGATGTGAATCAGTGCTCTGATCCACACTTTTCACTCAATAGGCGCATTTAAAGCACCTTTAGTTAGCTGAAATAATATGAATAGCAGGTTACTTAACCATATGCTCATGACAACTTGATCTAATTAAGGCCCCTCAATATGTTTGGAGAGAAATTATGAGCACATGACTTGCTCAAAGGCAATATGTTCACTGGTTTTCCTCACCTGTGAGTCTGCTCCGTTTAAATATTTTTTATAGGAATACGGGGAATAAACTTATTGCTTTGGACTTCAGCCACTGATAAATGTCATTATCAATTGAGAAATAAGTATTCAGATTCTCAAGGGGAAATTAACAATACACATACCACACAGTGTTAGCAACAGTGTAATGTTAAAGTCCAAAAGCATGTTAAGTAAAATGTACTAACTTATTGCAAGTAAATTTTTTATCAAGACTTAAATAATGTGTAAACTGTTCCTATGATGTGCCCAGTAGTGGAAACTACCGTAACTAAATACAATTACTCAAATATTTAAATGAAAGCCACTTCTACTTTACGATAGTATTTTCATTTGATGCTACATTATAAGCCACTGCATTTCAGGGGGAAGTATTATACTTTCTACACTCTTATTTGACAGTTATAGTTACAAGTTAGTTTACAAATTAAGACTTTACACACAAAACATTTGTATATTTAGAGTATGATTTTGCTAAGGTAATATATCAGACTATTTCCTTTACTACTGATGAGGCTGCTCTCTGTAGTATCAAGCCTAAAAACCCTTATATGGATGCAGTCAAGTGATGCAGTTTGAACTACAACAGTGCATCATATTTCATGAGTTATGTGGCATATGTAAAATGCTACCTGCAAAAAGGTATTAACTACAGCTTTGAATATGCTGTAGTGTAGTAAAGAGTACAGTATTTCCATCTGAAAAGTATATACGGTAGTAGTGCAAAATGAATTAGAAAAACAGGTGCCTTAAAAATTGTTCTCACATGAAGTACTTCACTAAATCAGCTAATTTAAATTCCACCTCAAGTAGCATCAGGCCCATTGGCTTCTTGAGGTAGCGTCAGTAGCAGCTCCAGCCTGGAGTCATGCAGCAGTACACATTGCGTGTCTGGTCGTTACATTTCATGCCAACCATTCACCAATACTGACTAAACAGTGTTTACCCATTGGATGTACAAATGTGATCGGGTAGTGTCATTAGACCAGTAATTATGATTCATCATAGAGAATTTTTCAGACAGGCACAGACAGGTATAGCCAATGGGTTTGGCTGTCCTGTTACACCCCAGCTGTGACCAGTCCCCCCTCACCTCCCACACACACATACACATACATACACATACACATATCCCATTCCTGCACTTCATCCTACCAGTGCACCCTTGCTCACAGGTGTTCAGCCTGGCTTGAGTCCATAAGCGCCCCTATCTGTTTCACGCTTCACTTGCAAACAAATATTTTAATGGACAGGGGATGAGTGACATGGCTTAATTTCTGACAGGGTTACTCTGTGTCTGATGCATCACAGTACACCAGTGCTGGAGAAACAGGCCTTTGAACACACTAGAATGAGTTTAATTCTATTGTTTTCAGGAATGTACATGCTTACATTGTTACTGTGACAGAGAGGGAAAATGTGAGCATGTGTAATAGAGAGTGTGCATGCAGCAATGTTTTCTTTGATGTGAAAGTGTACAACATGCGTTAAGTTCAGACATGCAAAGTGCAGAACTCACCTGTTAGTAATAACACGAGCTCAAGTCCAGAAATTGCATTCCTCTGCATTCCACGGATTCTGCTTCACCAGGGGGCTGGATAAACGTGTGTATATGCACACGCTTACACAAACAATCCGTCTTCTCTCTTAGCAGGCCCATGCAACCAAACATAAGTCATCAATCACACTCAAAACAATCTCGCCCTAGCAGACAGCCAATGAACACACAGGACATAAGAGATTCCTTCTGATATGAAGACATATGCTTTTAAACTCCTAGTGACGAGAACAGTAACGGTCACGGTCTTGTCCAACTCACGCAACTTAAAACAGACTACAAAGCGTAGCATACTGTATTTTGTCTAGCATAAGTGAAGTCCAGACTGGTTTTCTTTCCTGTCTTGATATCTGAAAGAAATCTACCCATCCATTGTATTCAAAGAAAACTAAATCTATAAATAGAAAAACTGGTTGTTCATGTCACACAATATAAGCAAACATAACTTTCTTTCTTTGAAAGCCTCTTTCAACACTATCATTATTCCTCCACTGCCTGTATTTTCTTTATTCCATCATTCTGTGCAACTTTTCATCCTCCCACTCTCTAACAGGGCTGCAGATGCTGAACCTGGCCTTCATTCCAGAACAGCAGGAGTTCGAGTCTCCCAGCTCATTAACACACAAAATTACCTCCCACCCCCAAACCACATTTCATTCTTCTCAAACATGCACAGAAAAACAGAGAGAGCAAGACTGAAAGTTTTCCATTATGACTTTATTAAATATACATTGGCTGATCTTTGATAAACACAGCATGTGGATCATTGGACTTTAGTGCCAGAACAGAAATGAGCAGCAAAACAACAAGGACAACACAAAAACAGATGAGCAGCTCTGTGGCAAATCCTCATCATCTTTCGTCCTTCATTACTGGTCCTGAAGATTAACACACACAGAAATCATGTGTCAGGATAGTGTTGTATGTCATAAACCTCTAATGAACAACTCATCTCACCCTCTGTGCTCACCTTAACCATGCGCCCATGAATCAGGAACGGTGACCTGAAGTCATGCTGGCAGTTGGCGTATCCCATGCCCAGTCCAAAACCTGAACCCAATGAAACAGGCCATGTGCGACCTAGGGGGGGGGGGGACAAATCCATACATGACATTTCAAAGTAGAAATTAAAGAAAAAAAAATAGTTTTTACCAGTTTACCTGAATAAAGATCACTTACGTTTAAAGAAAAGGAGGGAGAACGCAATGCCCACACCTAGGCCCGTTACTACGAAGAGGAAGAAAAAAGTATGAGTAGCTTGATTAAAATACACACCATAATGATTTGACTTCAGTACTAAGGTAATGTGATTTCGTCTGAGTCAGTATAAAAACTGGCTGGCATAGATGTAAATCTGTTGTAATGAGGTCCGTTGGGGGGCCGCTATTATGTTTGATGCAAGAGTTAGTAAATAGCACAAGTTAGCAAGACATTGCTCATTAGGCAAAGAGAGGGAGAGAAAAAGCAGCAAGAGCTCAAACGTCCAAGAAAAAAAGAAAACAGTAAAAGGGGTGCAAGAGAGGGGGAACTGAGTTAAAAGGAGCCAGGACAGTGTCCATGAGGCAGAGGGCAGGAGAGGTGATAGGGCAAAGAGTGCACACACATGCAGGTAGGTGATGTCTTGACACAGTGTGGTCAAGTAAAAGGCACAGAAGTTGGCTAAGTTGTTAGAAGTGCACGGACCAAAGTGGGATCTCGAGGAGGAATGTGTTTGTGCGCTTAACTTCACCTCGCTGCAGGCCACACCACACCCAACAGCAGGCCAGCCAGCACAGAAAACACATAAAAACAGCCATTTGGGCCCTTCCGACTCTTAATTGGATTCAGAGAGCTATGCAGCATGACTGATTTGCCTGAACCAGAACCCTCAGACTGTTCTCTATTACAAAACTTACAAATGTCAAACAAGACCACAAAAGCTCCTGCACATCCTCATTATCAGTGCAGATCAACAAAATCATTGTCCTCTGCATCCATGTCAAGAAAAGGTTTAGTTAAATTTAAGATCCTGTGTCTGTTACAGCCGCTGCCTTTCTTTGCTCTTCAGCCAGAGCATTTTTGAAACCTCTGATTTTCCACTGACAGTGATACAGTAAAAGCATTGGCAAAATATGAGGGCAGATCAACATCTCTTTTCTGGCGTCCTTTCCCTTTGTCTGGACATCTCCAAGGGGGATGGATTATAACAAAAACATTTGTGCTGGAGTAGAATGAAATGTATAACCCACAGGCCTGAGAATACACAGTAAGTTCTGTAAGCAAATAAAGTCCAGAGCTGGTTAATTGTATTGTTATTTTTTTGCATACTTCAATTATTTTCTGCAAATGGAATCAATAAGACTTTCACTTTCAATCACCAGAGTTCGTGAATTATAACTCTGGCAAATGTGTTTTGCTCAGCATTGCAATTTTAAAATGTCTGACAGCACATTACTTTGTAGAACTGTGCGTTTAGGATTTGCACAGCTTCAATGAAAGAAAATATCTTACCTAACATGACTTGTTGACAGTCTTCACTGTAAGTTAATATAAATATATTTGTTTTAATTGTGTGTAATAATTACAACTGACTACATTTGTTTCTAATCTATAGTCAAGCTAGCGGCGTAGCTCTACAGATAGCAATGTCGGTCAGTCGGTCAGTTGACCTCTTTGGTCCAGGCTCAAATGTAGCAACAACTTTTAGATATATTCTGTGATCATCAGCAAGTTAGCATTGCTATTGTTAGCTTGTTAGCATGCTGGCGTTTTTTCACAACCTTATAATGAAGCAAATTCTTAAGATTTTTTTTTCTGTTCTTCAATGACAGCTTAGCTGGATCACATTAATTTCCTTTGCTCCTTTATTCAAATATTTCACCAGTGTGTTTATAGAACAAACATAAGTTCTGAGCATTATATTTAGTGTTACTTGCAGCCGCTTTCAACATCAATACCATGACACCAGTATTAGCTGAAACAAATAAGACTGTAGTGAACTGCATTACCATTATTACTGGCCTCTCTCACTCTTATTATTGTTTATTAGTTCCTCACGTTATGCTTCCAATAAACACTGTTTTTTCCTGGTCTGAAGAGGATGTTGCCAATTGTCTCCCTCTGTAGCATCAATTCTTGGTTTCCTGTTCCCTTTACTAAAAGAAGTTGGATTTGACTTCTCTCAGGGTCTCTTCACTTTTATCAGTGGCCAGTTGGCTACTGTGTAAAGTCCTGAGCTTCCTTCATAAGCTGCAGACCTTTGTAGGATGTCCAACAGTTTTACCACAAAAACTGTGGCACTAAATATAAAGTGGCCTAGAGGAGTCACAAACACTCACAAAATGCTACACAATATAGGCAAAGGGTTATATTCCTGTATTATCATAGAAAGTTAAGACTAACAAAAATGCTTTTTAAACAACCCCCTGAGCAGAATATATGCTGCAGTGTTTCTCTGGTGACCAGACACACATTGGCACAGCTGGCAATTTGCTACACTGAGCTCAAAAAAAAAATGCCACAATTCAGATGTTTTTCCTTCCAGCAAGAAACATATTTTATTGAGCCAAAAATGATGTCATTAGTGTCTCGGGACAGACTGTTTGCCAGTCGAAGTATTTGAGTGCTGGACCAACACTGAACGAAATACCACAGATAAACTCAATCTGAAACAACACTCTGCTAAAAGACCCCATGGTGATCTGCTCAGCGCAGTAACACAGTGTTGTTTCATCAGCTCCGACTGTGTGAGTGAGGGCCAAAACATCCATTAATTCTAATATTATTGACTTAGAGAAAAAAACCCTGTTAATGTTGGTACTTTACTGGTTTTGGCAGAAAATTGAACCATGTCTGTTGGGAACAGTTTAGTACTGTGTATTGTTCTTTTGCCATTAAGTGTACGAATATTAAATATTAAGTTGTAATAAAAGTAAATGTTACATGTTTTCAATTTTTAGAGTGAGGCGATTGGAAAAGTGACAGACTTGTAGTAATACTGGTCAGTTTCTTCTCTTCTCTCATCCCTTCTCCCCCTCCTAATAAATAGCCAAGTTTAGCAAAATAACTGAAAATGTCATTTTAAATGTAGACTTGATTTGTTGAACAGAGTTGTAGGGTGTTTGTCCACTTCACACCATGCTAATATGTTCACTTACCAATGGCTTTGGGCAAATTATTTTAATCAGATGGGGTAGAGTTCACTTATTCTTATCAAAGCCCATGAGGGTATAGGCTGGTGTGCTGTTTCCACTTTCCAGTGCAACTGACTCAAAAATCATAACATTGTATGCTGAACCAAAATGGAAAAATACTTTAACAAACAGGAACGTTGATCACCTGCAGAACATTACCTACACTGGCTTATAGGTGTGCTATACAACACTACATGAGACATTTTCTCGCTGTTACAGCCCTCAGTATAGTGTTTTTCTTACCGAAAAAATTAGTTTTTTGAAAACATTATTTCCAGAGTGGATAAATCTGCTTTTGCCTTTTAATGTTGACAGGGAAAAACCTTTGGAAACAATGATGTAACCCACCCAGAAAGGCTCAGGAACTGTGAGGCAGTAAAGTTATGAAGATAAATATCTGTCTCCTCTAATTTTCTCACCACTCACTCACTTAAACATCAACATATTAATGTATTTACATTTATTTTGACAGACGACTTTGTAATTGTGTAATAGCAGAATATCATGTTGCTTGGTTAAGAGGTAGCATTTACAAGACACAATTCAATTACTACAAATGGACTGCATTTGTGAATTCAGCTCAGTTAAAATACATTTGTGGTGATCAGGAAGAGGGGACAGAAGAGAGGTTTAAGACTCAGAGACTAACCAGACTCCTCACCAGATGTTGGCTGTGATGCACAGTTTGACTGATTTTTTTGTATGTCTCAACCTGAAGACACTAGTGTGAATTAATTACTTTCTTCGTGGGCAAAGGTCTCTTTCAAATGTATGCATCTTCGTGTGGATGATGTCTGAGTGGAGAATGCACCTGACAGTCTCAACAAAAAAAGGTTTGTACACCCCCTGTATGTTTGCACGTGCAAAGCCCATTGAGACAGGCTAGTTTTAGCTTTAGTTTCCAGAGTAGGACCGTTTTGCTCCCTGCTGCTATTAAATTGTGAAACACTTATTTAGGCTGTGGGTGATGTAGAGAGGAGGGAGAGAAAAGACAGCCTGGAAACTTGGGAAAATGTCAGACCGAAAGAAGACTGAATAACCCTTCACGTCTGTGGACACCCTCCAAACGCTAAAAGAGACTTTGTTCACACACTCTATAGAGTCTGTTTAAACAAAACACAGATTCCAACTTGTATCTCGAGACTATGTTGTCTTTCTTAATCAGACTTTTATCCCAAAAATAAGCAAATAACGTTGTTTTATCCATTCAGCGGACAAGTTTACAGTTGACCTCAGAAGACTGTCCCAGCACGGTCAGGCTGAAATGACTTTGACTCCAGCCTTGACCTGTGCGGCAGTTTATTTACAGGTGTAATGTGCTGCAGAATGACAAGTGACAGCGTTAAACAATTACATTAAATGCATGAAAAGACATTAACCTGTTTTCACGGCTGTGTCAGCAAGGCAGCGGTCCCATTTCCGTCCGTATTCGTCTGCCATGTTTTCTGCTGTCGGAAACCCCACTAAATATCGCGAGAGGAACATAAACTTACGTTACCCTGCCACCACCAAGCTCCGTTATTTCACTCCTCATACATTTTATAATTGTTCAGTTTTTTGCCCTTCAGTTTTTTTTGGGGGGGGGGTTCAGCCAATACATCAACATTTATCTCTTGGAGTGAGTGAACACCACTTTTTCATATCTCACTAATTTAATCAGGCAAGCCTATATTCACACATGATTATATTTTTAGTACACCCCAAATGAAGTCTCTTTACCATTTTCTCATTTTGATGTTCTATTCTCAAGTGTAACCTAATATTTAGATATTTAAAAGTACAATATTTGACCACTTTGCTTGTTGGCAGTTTAGTGGGTTACATTCAAAACATCAGACTTCATTAGACAGAAGTTTTTCTTTATATTACAACTTCCCTACAGTTTTCACTGCTGCTGGAGGTGTCCATACAACCATTTGCATAATGTATACAAAGGAAATGATATATACACTCCCACAGTGTTGCACATCAGATACTGAGCAGAAAACTATAGGTTCCCACTTAATGTTACACAGGCAGTAGTAGTATCATGGGTTGAGAATTTGCAACTTTCTTATAGTAATGTTTTGGCTGGCAAATCATCTACATGTGGCATATTTTGGTAAAAAAAAACTGAGACCGATCATCATCTAATAAAAAATATGTGTAGTAATGATAGTAGTAGTTTAAGAAACACTAGAAGCATTCCTAGTCACATTGATAATTTTCTTGATTGTAGCAGCATTTGCCCTCTTATGAAATTCCAGCAGGCTAAATGCTGGAAGTCAAACTGCCCACACACTGTCAATAATATACAGATGTTGGTGGGGTTTACAGGCAGGTTTCCTATATACAAACAATCCAGAATACACATGCTGCTTCAGGGAAGAAGGCACAGTCTCATGATAGCTTTGATATGGAGACTTTTAGAAATAATTTATAAACATTTATAAATAATAAATAAATACACGGAAGTACGTTTGAATGAGTCACTTGCTTTTTTTCTGACACACCTCATGATAACCACTGAGAAATAGCAGCTGTAGTCACAGTAAAATCATCAACCCAGAGACCGAAGTTGTGAGAAATTACCTTTCCTTTACAGACTATAAATGCCCTACCTTGAAGTGATGCTTCACTCGTATGTGACAGTACTGTGACAGAAGCCTACAACTGAATAAAAATAGCCTCCCTTATATATATATATATATTCTATTCAAAAGAAGAAAAAACAACAAAACTAACCCCAAGGTGCGTTCAACATTGGAGTATATTAATTATGAACAATGTCAGCATTAAATAAGAATAAAAATAAATATGCAAACCATAATGGAGACCAGGTGACATTTAAAAGAGACCATTATATTCCCTTTTATTTCTTTTTGAGAATAACAGATAATAACAGGTTTCAAAATAATAAATGAAACTTAAAAATATTTAGAAATGATTCATTTCTAATTAAAGGATGATAATTGCGCTTATGGCGGAGGATATACATGTATAAAAGAGATGTGGACAAAAATAAATATCTAAAAAGAACAAACATACACTATATTATTAGGATTTGCTAAATTTCTGAGATGAAAAGAAATGTTTATGAAAGGAGCAGAGACTGCTTGCTTTGTATGTTTTTGTTTCGAAAGCATAAATCCGTTTCCAGCTTTTTAAATACAGTCTATGGTCTCCAGTCGATTATTATGTACCTCCCTCAGTGCAGTTGTGTATCTACTGCCCTCTCTGACTGCACGCTCACTGCACCACTCCTCTCTTTCCATACTTGGCAATGCATTTCTTGCTCCTTCGCTATTGGCTGCTGCAGAAAAAGCCCGGAGTGACCCGGACGTGCAACCGGGGCCCGTTTTTCTGCCTGCAGCCTCCTTCCTGTAGCCCGGTTGAGGAAGTGAATTTCGCTGACAGGGCTGGGTTCAGTGAGGGAGAGGCGAACAAAACATCTTCCGAGGGGGGTTAGAAAAACAAACAACAAACAACAAAACAGCAAGAGGCGAGAGGAGAGATTTGATAACCCACAGTGAAGCTAAGGTGTACAGTCATCGGTGAAATCGTGCTCCCCTGCCCCGCTGAGACCGCCGCAGACATGGTAAGGGCCGCGGCAGAGCTGGTGGGAGAGACGGGGCCGGGGTAAGAGGGTTGTGGTGCGGCTACTGGCTTCTGCTAACTAAGCGGTAACGGCTAAGGGTGCTAAGCTAGGCTGAGGCTAGCTGGAGGTGCTGGGTGGTAACCTGAGAGGAGCAGCAGGAGCAGCAGCAGTGGGGGAGCCAAGTATATAAATCACCGATGCATATCTAAGTTGCCCCGTTTGCAAAACTTCTGCGTACCGGATACGAATGAATTAGCTCTGTGGCTAAGCTACCAGCTATATATTTTAGCTGGATGTTAGCTAGTAGCTAGCCGTTAGCCAGGCTACATGCCCCGTAGGCACAAAGTTAGCACAGGATGTTTTGGATTTGACACAAGTTCGCGAATAGTGTTAGAGAGGAGTCCTAATATAACACACATACAACCCTTCAGTCGTGCGCACACACACGCACACTCAGGCTAAAATAGTCAAGCGCCCGGTTGCCTGTAGCTAAAATAAGACTGCTTGCTCCTCCTATTCCAAACCATGTCAAGCTGTCAGCCTCTTCTGCTGCTAAGTTTTTCCTCTCTCGCGAGTTTGATCATGACTTTTCCAATACTTTCTCTGGGAAATCTTATGCCCCGATAATGCCTATAAATAATACCTGCAGTTATTATTTACTTGTTGCTTGTTTTAAACCTTTTCCTGCCCTTTAATCTCGTGTGGCAGTAACATCACAGTAATTGGTCATGCATTTATGCTTGACAGAAAAAAACCTAATATTTAACTTGAACTATTCTAGCATGATGGAACACCATCTTGTGCTTTCGGGCTGTTTATAAAAGTGAGCTCTGTAGTACTTCCACATGGCTTAAATTGTCCAATGTGTGAGTTGGGAAGTGCAGATGGTTTTTCTCTGCAGTCGCCCAGTCTACTTGGCCTCACCTCATCCATCCTGTTGGCTCAGCCTCACTGCTCTCCCCCTGACCCCAAGGGTTGTTGGTCTGAGCTAGTGTTTACACAGAGACAGGAGCACTAGTAAACACAGTGTCAAGGAGCACAGGTGTCTGATGGAGCAGATTGATTCATCAGCTGAGAGAGATTTTAAGACAGGCAAAAAGCAACTCACAGAAGAGGAAATTGCATGGGAGATATTGCCTGGAAACGGCTGTTATGTTCAGGGTCACTCTTAAGAAAAATGTTTATGGAAAGAGGGTTCTCTCCTTTCTAACATGTCATTGTCCTTTGACCAGCTGGCAGCTGCGTGAGTATACATTGTTATGGTTATGCACTTAAGAGGAGTTACTTCATAGATAAGGCAAGATGGAGGGATTTGACATCTAAAAGAGGGTGATTTTAAATGGTTTAACAAACAAATTCTGTGCAATTCAGAAAACTATTGCTATTGGTGATTTTGATATTGATACAAGCAATTCAGAATGATCTCAGATTCAAGTGCATCCCCCTTTCCTATTGATTATTGGTTTGGATGAGCATTTAAAACTCCTCTTCATATTCAGCTTTTTGGCTGCCACCCTTCATGAGCACATCTGTTTGTTTGTAATTGTAGATATGAGTGAATTTATCATGTCCAGATAGAAGTGTTTCTCCTGGCTCAGCTTGTAATTTGGTCTAGGTTGGTAAAAGCAGTTATTTATCACTGACAGGCACATTAACATTTAGTAATTACACTCATGTTGAAATATCTTTTGACTGACTGGTATGTCAGTAGGACTTATGCCAAGCTAAGGTGATTTTGGCACAGTCTGATAATGCCCAGATGATTGTATCATAGCCAGTAACCTGTCAGGGTTAGGGTTGGGGTTAGCTAAAAAATTTGTTTTGTCCATCTACTATAACCCACCTACATCTTCTTTCACATTCCCCAGAGTTTCATGTTGTGGCTGGTCTGTCCTCCTCCGCTCACTAATATCCTGCTGCAAATTTAAGGGGGAGAAACCCCTGGGGGAAGGCTGTGCTATGCAGGCTATGCAAGCTCTCCAATTACTTCCTAAAGAAAAGTTTAATATTTTACATTTCATTTATCCTAAAACATCTCCACAACAAAGAGACGGGTCACAGTAAGAGGGCAGACTTTGTTTTTAAGGAATGTTACATACAGGATACAACATACAGGAATGTTGATCTGCAAGAGCTAAAGGAAGGACACTGCTGCAACACAAACTATAGTTTACTGGGAACATTGACCACAGTATCAAACTTGTGTTGAGTGGCTAAGTAAACAACAACACAAGCCTCAGTAAACAACTCAAACATGTAACCAAATAAGGAATTGGCTTCAGTTAGTGTCAGGCTGAAGACTGTAGACTGTGACTGCAGCTTTGACTGTTTGTTAAAATCACACATACTTTACAATATTTCCGAAAATTCTCCAAAAGCCTACTTTAATTTCCTACATTGATCTTCTTGCAGTGTTTCATAGTGGGTTTATCCCGCCTAACTCAGAATAAAGAGCGAGGGAAGATGTTAGTGGAAGGTTTTAACCGTCATGTATTAACTACATTGATACAGGGTTGAGATGCATCGAGTTCTGTCTGATTCAGCTCAGCGGTTGATCACATCTTCTGTTCACTTTGCAGTTATTAATCACATTAATCTACATTGTTGATGAAAGCAGAAAATCTTTTGAGTTTTTATCAGTTGGGAATAGTAGAGACAAACAGCCCAATCTGACACAATCAGGTGCTGATGTGTGAGAAAATAAGAGTCAGTGCATGCAAGTTTGAAAATCACCAGTTGGGACTCTTATTTGAACCAATATCTGGTGAGAAAACCTGGATTTCATACCACTGAAACAGCCGTTTGTTCAGTTAATCTCATTATGCTATCAATCTTTCAGTCTGTTCTTGTGCCTCAGACACAATTAACAGTGATGGCTGAGTGGGAAGGCGGTGAGGGATCATGGTCAGGGTGTCTGTACGGACGGGTATGGGATCAGAGATTTTGGGGGAGTCCTGTCTGCATGTGTGACAAAATATGTTGTTGGCCACACCCAGTCAGTGATGTCACAGCAGGTGTTTTGTTTTTGGGCTGACTCCACAACTCAACTGGCACAGAGGGTGGGGTCTCCACACCAGTTAAATTGGCACACTTAAACAGTATGTGCTGCCGATGCTGATTTGAATAGACAGATTTGTGCAGAACAAAAACCAAAAGCCACGTGTTACAAGAGCTTCGTAAATATCTTGTGAATTTCTTTTTACAAAGCCTGTCATGGCTGATGGTAGTTGTGTTGCACCTGACATTTACCTGTTTGTAGTTCACCTCACTGCAATTCATCCTCACCGGAAAATCCTCCACTGCCACACTGCTGCTGCTGTGTGATCCCTCTCTGATAGCAATTCAACATCATATCTGCCGTCCATTTCGCCACTTATTCTCCAATTTAAGCATTTGTCTCGTCCATGTCCCTGCATGACACATGCCCCACAGTTATGGCCAAATGAAGAGCATCTATTGAAAGTCGATTGGCAATATCTGCACTGACATCACTGGTTTGGAAATGATCGGATGTGCCACTCGTTTGAAAGGTTTACACACAGAACAGTTTCCTGCACTTTGAAAACCATTTTGATCCTCCGTTTGACTTTCCTCTGCAAAATACTCACATGACAAATCATGAGTGCTGTTCAGTCTACTGAGCTGAAAATGTCTGTTGTGTCTGTAATCTTGCAGTGCAAGCACAGTTTGCCTGCAAGGGTGTGAATACTTCCTGCACAGCAATGGGGAACATATAAGCTTCTCTGACAGCTAGCTGGATGATGTACCATTTAAAAAAAAAAAAAAAAAAAAAAAAAATTATACCAATACACAACTACTGATCAACTAAATTACACCCTGATGAGTCTTTTGGTCAACAGTTTGAATTAAAGTTGGTGTGAAACTGTTTGAGGACAGCTATTTTTCAGGCCGTTTGACTCAATTTAAATGTTAATCCATTTTGTATTTATGTGTCTGTTGGCTTTCTTCTTCACCTGTAGTGAAAAACACAGCACATACTGTAATAATACTATTATAACTTTGCTTTCAATATTTGACCTCAGCAGATGTGAAGAGGTTTTATGACTCAGTAAACACGAAGATTCCTGTGTACTTACTGTGCACTGTACAGTATTCTGTATACGTTTTCATTATCTCAGCAGCATGTAGTAACAACAAAATCATATCAATTTCTTTAACATTCCTATTAAAGTTGTGTAGTTATTTCTTTGCCATCATCATCTTTCTTCCTAAATGTTCGGTCTTATATTAGTTCTGTTCCTATATTCTATTTATGTTTTCCATATTCCTCACATAATTGTTTATCGTTTTGCTACAAAACATATTTTGTTATGATTTTCTAAAAGATGGTAAGATGGTGTCATCAATTAGTTAGTTTTTATTTTACAGCAATTTGTAAAACTAAAAACTTGGGCTATCTTAGGAGCTGAAAATCTTTCTTTACACAGTTGTTTTTTTGTTTTGGAGAAATAATCACTATGAATAACAGTATAACAAACGTGACATAGCAGAGTCATCAGTCATAAGGAAGCTGCTGTGGTGTTGAGCTTGGAACTATAATCTGATAGTACAGTATAATAAGTGTTGTCTCTGCTGCTTGTGTATGTGTTTCAGAATGACCAGCAGCTGGACTGTGCTCTGGACCTGATGAGGCGTCTGCCTCCTCAGCAGATCGAGAAGAACCTCAGTGACCTCATTGACCTGGTGAGTCTTTGTATTTCCTGTCAGATCTCCTTACAGGCAAAACACGCAGCCATGTCGGGGTATAGTTATGTTCATTACACAAATGGCAGAGCCCCTATCGTAAGGATTACCAAACCTATCAGGTGAGTTAGTTTTTGACTAGATAACTCAGCAGCAAGTAGCAATGTGACAGCTGTTGAGTTTGCTGAACCTCAAAATTGACCTAGAAAGAGGAGTAAAGCTTTTTCAAAACTGAACATTCACATGTAAACGACAACACATAAGAAAGTTACAGAGCACCAAATATAACTAATGTAGACCCAAAAGTTAATAGAATATTAAAACAGAGATGGATTGATTAGTGTAATAATCTATTAGTTAGTCAGCAGAACATTAATCAGCATCTATTTTGGTAATAAATTAAACATATAAGTCAGTTTTTTGAGCAAAATGCCAAACATTTGCAATCTGCAAAAGACAATTTTCACTATTCTCTTAAAATGTATAAACACAATGATTAATCAATTATTTGAAAAACCAATTGACAGGTTAAATGATGATGAAAATAATCATTAGTTGCGGCCCTAAATAATATAGCAACTGAGAGGTATTAGTGCGACCGTCCATAGGGAATTTGACTTTTTATGTGGTAGCAAGATAAAACATAAACATAATAGAATGACATTTCTATATCTCAACCAAAGTGTAATGTTCTGTAGTTGCATTGAATTAATCAGATTTGCAGTTCAGTGGTACATATTTGCCAATAGACCGCATTCATTTTAAGTCACTTATTTTTGATAAAAATCTGGGGTTAATTTTTGCTCAACGCAAGAAATATATCAAGTCATGACAGCAACAGTAAATTTACAGTATATTCTTCAGTTGGAGTTGTGCTAATATTTTGTGAATGCATTTCTTTTGGTTAAATCACTCAGTAGATTCATTATAATACGGACAGAGTCGTGTTCTGGCATCTGTCTTGGGACTGATCTGAGCACATCTATAGTTTGTTTTGTAGCATCAGAAGTGTGTGTAAGTGTGTGCTGGGTGTCGGCCTTTTGTGGTTTTGTTTGTGTTGTTTGAAAGTTTGTTGTTCAGGACTGTGCCAGTGTTACTGTTACTGCCATGTGTGTAACTGAAGGTGTTAGTATTCAATGCTCCAGTTATTTTTTTGTACGGAGTGGAGGTTAAGTTGTTTCTTTCTAAATTCTCCATTGAGCAGTTGGATAACTTACACAAAACTTCTGCCTGTAAATTAATAATTTGGTTCTTTCCTACAATTTTCTGTCGAAAAAGTTATTAACAGTGGAGTGTCAGCAGAGTTTGACAAATTAAGCAAAATCAGACACAAATCATATCACACTTTAACCAGTGTTTGCATGGCACCTTGTTTCGTGGGCATATCCGTCCCTTTAAAGGCCAGACCCCCACCTGCACACCTTCCTCTTCCCACACCTTTAACCTCAGCTCTCTCCTCACCCATTTCGCTGTGTCCGGTTGTTAGTGATTATTATCACAGCTGTCAATCACCTCCACTGCCAAGCACTTGTAGGCTCAACCATCTTTGCTCAACGTCTTCCTGGCAATTAAGAATCACCTGGAATCACCTCTTTCTTTTCTGTTTGTCCCACATCTCTTCTCCTCTCTGATCTCCATTTCCCCTCTACCTCACTCTCCTCCCTGGGTTTTGTCCTGCCTCTCTCCCTTATCTCACCCATTCTGGGCCGCCAGGTATGTGTGTGTGTGTGTGTGTGTGTGTGTGTGTGTGTGTGTGTGTGTGTGTGTGTGTGTGGGTGCATACGGGGGTGGGGGGGGCTTTTTTTTTTTTTTTAGGAAAACAGGGCCTCCTTTGTTTCTTGCTCTGATGCAGGGGAGCATGGAGAGGAGGGGTCCATATCAGTCTGTGAGAAGTAATTTGTAACTCCTTATCCTGTAGATATTATGTTTCCCATTGATATGTTATTCTGGCTCCACTCAGTAACCTCTGCTTATTGAGTGAAGCTGGAATGTGAGAGAAAGACAAGAACATTTTTAACTTAAAAGCAGAATATCAGTTGCCAGAATCGTTGTGTTTTGCTGTATAGTCTGTTCCTCCATAGCCCCGGACATTGTTTTTTAAACTAGTATCTGTTACAGGAAGTCTTCATTGACAAAAACGGCTTGTAATCAAGTGGCTGAAGTATCTGGCAGTAGAAGATGTTAAAATTTAACTTCTTCTATCTGTGTTTGTATCCAGGTTCCCAGTCTGTGTGAGGACCTCCTCTCCTCTGTTGACCAGCCCCTGAAGATTGCCCGGGACAAGGTCGTGGGGAAAGACTATCTGCTCTGTGATTACAACCGAGACGGCGACTCCTACAGGTCAAATCAATAATTGCACCTGAGTCACAGACGAAGAACATTAACAACATTATGATCAGTTCATCAGTCAAAAGAAAATAAGCTACAGACTTTTAATGACTTTTGACTTCTTCGCAAAAATATATAACATCCACTTTTGCTGAATTGCAAAAACACCCTTTTTTAATTTCTATCTTTTATTAGAGTCAACACGTTGTTATAGCACAGTAGATCACATGTGTTATTCAGTGCACAGGAATTAGGTAAATCAGTTTTTTGAATCATACCGACAAACACTGAGAGGTTTAAAGTCTTGAGAAATGTTTGACACACAGCAGAGAAACTGGTGAGATTGTTTGTGTGAAGCCAGTGTAAACCTGTTTGAAACACAGTCCTTATAGTGTGGTGGTCATCAGGGGCCGTGTGGCAACGGAAAAAAGTAGTGGTGGGACCGAGGAATTCAAGGTTACCAGCCAGTACAATGGGGCATATTTAAGATGGATTATGTCACTTTTAAAAGAAAGTTGTCCTCACACAAACGTTAAATTTATACAAATTGAAACCTACTGTTGCTCAGTTCAGTACAGAGCTGAAACAAAAAGCTGATTAAACAATTTGATGGCAGTTATTTTGATAGTCAATAATCTATTCACTGTCCATTCTCATGTTCCAGCTTCTCCAATGTGAGGATTTTCTGCCTTTCACTGTTTTTATCATTGTAAATTGAACATCTTTGTTGTTTGGACAGTTGGTTGAACCAAAGAAGCAATAACATGATGTCACATTGGTCTCTGGGATGTTGTGACTTGGGTTTTTTACCACTTCTGGGGTTTTATAGGCCAAACAGTTGATCAGTTAATCCTTGAAATAATCAACAGATTAAGATAAAGAAATTATGACAAGGGGCATCGTGTGGCGTAGTGGTCTAAGCAGGCGCCCCATGTGTAGAGGCTACAGTCCTTGCGGCAGTTGGCCCCGGTTCAAGTCCCGCATCGGACGGCCTTTGCTGCATGTCATTCCCCCTCTCTCTGCCTCCCCATTTCCTGTCTCTCTACTGTACTATCAAATAAATGCCCAAAAAATATTCTTTAAAAAAAAAAAAAAGAAATTATGACAACAATTTTCCATCGCAGCCCTAATTCTACACACGCAGGGATCTTCCTGGTTCAGTTTTACCTGGTCTGGTGTGACCAGTAGCTTATGGTGGCTGATATTAGAAATGTTGTTGTGTCCTTCTCATGAGAATTTTATTCAATAGAGAAATCCAGTGTGCCTTAACCCTGCATCTGCCACTTATGACCAAGTTACATAGTCTCACATCAAGGATTTAGCTGTTAGAAAGAGACATTTAGTGCCCATGTAAACTAATACAGCATCTTAACATTTAGTCAGATACATATTAACACTGAATTCTGTCGTACTCTTTAATACATCAGATCCCCATGGAGTAATAAGTATGAACCTCCCATTGAAGATGGTGCAATGCCTTCAGCTCGCCTGAGGAAACTCGAGGTTGAAGCCAATAACGCCTTTGACCAGTACAGAGACCTGTGAGTACCAGCGAAGCAGTCTGATGCAGGGTTTTTAATAAACGCTCAGTGTGCTCCTCTTGCGACCTCTGATATCTGTGTTTTCAGGTACTTTGAGGGTGGTGTGTCCTCCGTGTACCTCTGGGACTTGGATCATGGCTTCGCCGGAGTTATTCTGATCAAGAAGGCTGGGGATGGATCCAAGAAGATCAAAGGGTGCTGGGACTCCATCCATGTGGTGGAGGTGCAGGTGAGAATCAGCTGATATGAAATAACAATAGGTTGACATTTGAACTTGCTTCTGCCTAGTCTTTTTTTTTTTTTTTTTACTTTTTCATTTTATTTTTCAATCTCAGGTGTATTTGTTTTTGCAACAAAGAACAATTATAGTATGTTTTACATTCAGTTCCAAACTTTAAAAAAATATGTTTAAAAATATAAAATGTTTGAGCCCAAATGATTTCATATTCTAAAACACCAAAGGGAAACAAACAACAGTTCATTGTAAACATTATTGATAATAGAGACTATACGGCATTAATATAGTAAGTAATGTTATGTTACCATCTTACTACCGCTCCTAAAAACAAAGAGGATACATTTTTCTGCCATTTTAAAAATCTGTAGTATCAGGCAGAGACAAAACCTGTGCTTGATGTTTGCAGGTGATTTACTTTAAAATACATTGCTTGGAGAATAATTCAGATTTGTTTTTGTTTTTTTTCTGCTTGTACAAACAGGAGAAGTCCAGTGGCCGTACGGCTCACTACAAACTCACCTCCACCGTCATGCTGTGGCTCCAGACAACCAAGACCGGCTCTGGTACTATGAACCTGGGCGGCAGCCTTACAAGACAGGTACAGTGTTGAACTGACAATAAAACATTTCTAATGCTTCCAGCTGTGCTCCAGGGACCCATTAACTCTGCGTTTTTTTCATTGTTTCATAGATGGAAAAAGATGAGACGGTTGGAGAATCCTCACCCCACATTGCCAACATCGGCCGCCTTGTTGAAGTCAGTATAACTGCTAGCGTCCTGCTTGTTTGCCTTTTATTGACTGCTTACCCAAAGCAGTTATTCTTCTCATCTGGAATAATGCAGTGCATTGTTTCTCAGGAGCAGGTTTCCTGGACACAGGATTCTGCTGATATATCATAATGCTTTGAATACTCATAAAATGTTGTGACCTACATGACAATCATGTTGCAGAGCCACTCTCACTGTGCCTCATGTTCAGGACATTCACAGCCTCCAAATCAAGTCCAAATGTTACCAGATAGAAAATAGAGGCAGGAATCATGCTGGAAGTTAAGAATGTTTCCGTTTTGTTCCAGGATATGGAGAACAAGATTCGCTCCACACTGAATGAAATCTACTTCGGGAAGACTAAGGACATCGTTAACGGCCTAAGGTAACACTTATTGATTTGTCTGGATTACTTGAACCAACTTCTCTTTTTTTTTTTTTTTTAACAGGACTTCCAGTCAACAGGGTCTGCAATCTCTGTTTTTTTAATTGTACTGGTCATACGATGAGCCAGAGTCAGTTTACCTCCATGTCTCCAGCTGCTGACCTGTTAAACACAGATGTTTTCTTGCCTCTTTTTTAAAATTTCTGTCATTTCTTGTCTGACATTTTATTTCAACCTACCTCTGCTGCCCCTCCGTACGGTCGCAATTTTTCTGTATTCACGTCATATCCTTCTCCTTTCCCAATCCCTGTCCTCAACCCCGCCAACAGGTCTTATTTTTTGTTATTGCCTTTCATCTATCATTTCTGCTGCCATTCTTATCACTGTCTATCCCTCTGTCAATCCCTCTGTCACCAATCCTGCCCTGCTGCCTCTCCTCTGTGCTCCAGATCTATTGAGTCTTTGCCTGATAACCAAAAGTACCGGCAGCTCCAGAAGGAGCTGTCTCAGGTCCTCACCCAGCGTCAGATCTTCATTGACTAGGGTCAGAGGTACACCCTCGCATGGAGAATTGTGTGTGTGTTTTTGTGTGTGTATTGTTAAGTACAAAATGAACAAGGGGAAATATTGCTGTACTGCTCTGTCCATGGTCTCCTCCTTGGGCCTCGCTCTCAGATGTGTTACTGTACGTTTAGGAAGGAAGCAGCTAAAAGGCATGTTGGGTCACAAAACAACATATTTGAAGACTTTACCTTGGGCTCTGGGGAATTGTGTTGGGCTTTTCTCACTATTTTCCTACATTTTGTAGACTAAACAATTAATCACTTTATTGTAAAAATAAGTGAGCAATAGCTGGGCAATAATGAAAATTGTATTTACTTATATTTTGGCAAATTGGCATTATTAATAGTTTGTCAAATCAGTAGTAGTTCCTGTTTTCATTGTACCCATAAGTGTACAGACAACTATCACTGGATTTCTTTGATTGTGAAGAAAACTTAAAAATGATTCGATTCGTTTTGGAGTTACAAGGAGCGTAATTTTTTCTGTGATTTTTAAGCAGGTTTATTGATGTGTATTCGCGATGGACAGCAAAGATAATTATATCCTGTGTGTGTAATACTGAATCTAAAATTATAGCAACAATAATGTGAATCATATCTGTTCATTCAGATTTTTGACTCCAGCAACAGCATGAATTTTAACACAAATTGCAGCACTTGGCCCCACGAGTTGTGTGTCACCACCTCTGCTGCAGGTCGTTTCTGATCATGTTGGTCAACTGGCCAAATCAGCAGCCAAACGACAAAAACGAATTTCCCTTTGTTTGTAGAACACCGACACGCACCTTCCCCTCTCGCAGTGCCTTCGTCTTCTTGGGAACATTTTGTTGGTGAAACTGGCATTAACTTGTGCACCTTAGACTAAAGATGATGTCATCAAGATAAAGATTATTGTTCAAATTTTAAACATTAGTTTAAATAGAAGACAGATGTCACCTGGTATTTGTTGGACATTTGTTTGTTAAGATTTAGATAAAGCAACAACAGCAAAAGTAGAAAATGATACAAACCAAATCAGCTTGATTGAGTGGTTTGTCAGAGTTCAGGCTCATAGGTTACCGTGTGTGTGTGTTGTGTGTTTTGTGTGTGTGTGTGTGTGTGTGTGTGTGTGTGTGTGTGTGTGTGTGTGTGTGTGTGTGTGTGTGTGGAACTGAATGCTGTATGAACATTTGCATGCTCTTTAGCTGCTCAATCTGCAGCACTCTGTGTGGGCATGTTATGCAGGTTGTGTTCAACCTTTTAAACTAATGGACAATCTGTGTGAGCAAGGGACACACTAACCATGTCAGAGTTTTCAGAGCAGCCATCTTTTGTCCTATCAGAAGAATAACTCTCAATTTATGTGAATGCGATGAAATAAAATCACAGAAAGACTCTTATTAGCATAAATATTCACCCCTGTCAATTTAACAGGATGATATCATTCAAACTCTGAGTTTGATCTAAACAGAATGAAGATTTCTGCTGTTTTAATTTTATATTTGCACATGTAATTCTATAAATTTGTTCTCAATTCATTATGAATCTTCAAATATCTCACCAAAGTGCAAAATGTAAAGGACTGAATACTGCCGCAAGACACTGTAAGCAGGTGAATCACATTATTGAATTGCATGATAAAAAATAACTGTAACCATTGGTTTCCTTTGCCTGACATTAATATTCCATGTGTGCAGTGTGTATACATTTAATGTGTGATTAATACATATTTTTCACAGAGAAGCAGACTTGGACTGTGCTGTTATATAACACTTTTACAAAGTTTCAGTTCCTCAGTTTTTCTCTTGAATTTACAGACCGTGTGTTTCTGTTTCTATGGAGAAACTTTTCCAATCTCTTGTTGTTTTCATATTCGATGTTGCACACACTGACTGTCTCTCCTCTCTTTGTGTCTCTCCTGCACAGGAGTGTTCAGACTCTGGCTGACAAGTCAAAGCAGGAGGCTCTGAAGGTCGACCTGATGGAGGCACTCAAACGCAAACATAACAGCTAGAGATGCTTTTTCGTTTTCCTCTGACTTCTCTCACTCTCTCTGCCTCATCTCTGCCATCTTTTCTCTGTTTCTTTTCGTCTCTCCCTCCATGCCTGTTTCAGTGCTGCACTCTTGTTTATTTGTGAAAAAACAAAAAAGGAGAAAATGCTTAGCTTTTTATTTGGTTTTTTTCTTTTCTTTTCTTTTTCTTTTTTTTTTTTTTGTTTTTTGTTTTTGTTTTTTTCTGTTGGGTTTATTTTCATGCATCTCATCTGCCATGAAGCCATTCACTCCCTCTGTCTCTCTTCACCCCTCTCTTCTCTGTCTGTTCTCTCCCATGTTATGAATATAATGATAGTATTACCACGGTTAATGATAATCTTACAGTGTGAGGATCATTGTAGTAATAATCCCTGATGTTCTCACAGCTGATGTGTCCTCGGTCAGTTTGAAATGAGCGACTTTGGCCCTGCTCTTCCTCCATGGTGAGGAAACGGACATAGACTGTGCTGTACGTGGTGTAGGCTTGGTGGGGCTGTCATTATTATGTACATCAAATTTATTTCTTGCACCTATTTTTGTCTACGACACCCCCCTGATATATTTGTATAAAATTATAACTGTCCGTGTATAACTGTCATTCTTCTGGCCGTTGTAAACGGTGCGAACACGAGGGCGGCCTTCGGTTTGTGTTAAAGGGTTTTTATTCTTTACTCCACTCTGTCCGCATGCATGTAAGCCTATGTGGGAGCATGGGGCCGCAGCCAGTGGAAGTGTAGACTTATCAAACATGGGGGATAGACTGTTATAATCACCAGGTACACCCTTGTCGTCGATCCAATCCCCTACACTGTGTATAACATGACAGTTTGCCTCCCCTCTGTTCGGCTTATTCAACTCTTCTCTCTCCTCACCTACTATGTCTTTGTTGGGGGTCACAGTTTGTCTTTGTGTCTCAGTGGAAACCTTTGACTGTTTCCATTTTGGAGGGGAATCTTTTGTTGTATTTTTGTTTTGTTTTTATTTTGTAAAGCTTATGATTCATATTGTATTAGAGCCTCCAGCAACAATAAAAACGGTAAAAAGCTACTTCTATTTTTTTATTCTTAATTTCTTATTGATGTGCCACACTGTAAAGGTAGTGGACAAAATAACAAACACTCCTGAACAGGGATTTGAAGTATTGCCATTGCAAACATCGCCGCCCAGGAAGGACTTTAAGTCTTCTATTAAGCATTTAAAAGCAGTATATGAGCATTTATCATAAATTGCTTATAACACAATAGAATGTAGATGTAAGCAAATACAATTTTTACCTCGTATTTGACAACTGTCAAGCCTCCTGTGAGCACCCATAAGTGAAAGCTTTGGTAAACAGATAATGAATGACAGTATAAACATTTGCTAACTGGCATTTTACAGCCCTGTCGAAATTAGCACAAAACATCACACAGCTGAGGACGATAGCAATGTCATTAGTTTTGCACGTATTTGGTCATAAATAAAAGTATGGGACGAATTAAAAATTTGACCAAAGTGTCAAGGAAAAGTTGGAAGATCGCCAAGATTATTACAATTTATCCTCCGGATACAATGAATACCTACAACTTTTATGACAATCTATCCAATAATTGTCAAAATATTTAACAACAATAAATAAAAGGGAAAAGTGAGAGGCTCACCAAAGTTACAGTAATAGGATTCATCATCTGGGGAACATGAATGTCTATACTAAATTTCATGGTGATGCATTTTTGCTAAGGAATCCTTCGGTTAGTTTGAAGGGAGAAGAATTGTAACCGCAACATGTCCTGATTGTTTTCTGATAAGCACAGTACTCAGACACTGCACTTAGGTGCAATTTTGAGGAACTTGTACGTGATATGAGTAGCTCCATTTCCTGCTACTTTATTATTTGACCTCAGTTCAGAGGCAAGTTTTGTACTTTTACTCCACTTTTTAGTTAGTGTTCAAATTCAGATTAATAATTAGCAATATAATCACCAAATAAATGTTTATGTATTATATGTATTCTCTAGACAGTCTAGTAGACACACAACATGATGCAGCTCTCGTCATGGACATACTGAATACTGACTGAACCCGTCTCCTCTCACTGTGTGACTGCAGTTTGTCCACTAGGTGTCAGTGACACTCAGCACATCAGCTCAGCTCCGGGGTTCACAACAGTTTCCATCAAAGATTTCATCAAAGAGGTCTGTTGTGTCTTCATTTCATCTTATCTTACTCGAACTGAGTTCACCTTATGACAGAGTCTGAACTGAAAACCACGAACTAATAAAACCTACAGGAAAACAACCGGTGAACACAAATTAAATAGGTTTGATTGTAGATTTAAATGTAACTATCCCTCCTTTGGCAGAACAATGGACAGGGCAACTTGTCTTGTATTGACATTTTGATTAATGTCTTCCAGTTAGTGAGTAATCGCTTTCTGGAGGTGAGTGGCCATGCTTGAACACAGATTTGTCATAGATGAAATAATAGTTGGTTTCAAGTGGTTATGTGCCACCACTGCATCATCTACAAGATCTCTCTCTGTGTTGAACCCCTACACTCAAAAAGTGTAGAAAGCAGAACTAAGACGAAGATAGCAATGCCTGTATCTATAACTGAAGCACTGTGGAGACTATGGGTAGTTGTAGCAGCATTCATACATGGCAAGTTGTCAAGTAAAATAGCTAGTGAAAGTCTAGTTGTTGTTTTCTGCTAATAAATGAAGCTTTGAGAAGAGAAGAGAATTTCCAGTGGCAGGTTTTATGTCAAGACCCTAACAGAGCTGTTTTCCTCTCTCTCTCTCTCTCTCTCTCTCTCTCTCTCTCTCTCTCTCTCTCTCTCTCACACACACACACACACACACACACACACACACACACAAACACACAGGTTTATGATAATGAGGAGCCTCAAGGCGCAGGGGGAGCAGGAGCCATTTTTTTACCATTCAAGCGGAGTTGCGCGGACGGAGCGGAGGTGTTGCTGCCGCTGTTGTTGTTGCCGCCGGCGTGTGTGAGAGTGTGCGAGCAGCTCCGGCCAAGGTTACTGCGGGTTTACCTCTTCAGAAAAAAGAAGGAAAAAAAAAAAAAAAATCAGCCGGAGTGACCGGGGAGAAGTGCGCCCACTGAGAGCATGGCTCCTCTGCAACAAAGGGAAACTCACAGGCGGAAAGTTTAAAGGAATAAGGAGCTGCAGAAATTCCCGGCCGGAGAACACACACTGAGGAGCGATGCACTTCGTTAAATGGGACTTGTTGTTAATTTTCTGGTGGTGCAAACTGGTTTCGCTGGCGCATTGTTACAACGTTCACATCAGTGAGGATGCGGGACCAGGGACGGTGGTGGCCGGCGTGGAGCGGGGCGCGCAGTGCGCTTTGGATCAGGTACTCGCTCCTAAATTCTCGGAGCAGTTTCTGGAGACTGACCCAGCGGCGGGCACTGTGTTTGTTTCGGACTCGATAAAGTGCGCCTCGCTGCGCTCAAACCCCTTCACCGTGTACACTGTGGCAGACTGCACGGACTCCGGCTACAGACACCTCCTCACCAGCCAGTACGAGGTGCATGTTCACGGTAGGAACTGTTCAAACAAGCGTAAAAGAAAACCTCAGTGGGACATGGAGGTCCTCAGTTTGTTTAGCACCCACAACCGCCACCACCGCTCAGAGTGCCACCAAGCAGGCTCTGCTTTATTTCCAGTGGGAGGTCTGCTACCTGGCTCCCCAGTCCGCTGCAAAGTCACCAACAGTCGGGACTTTTACTTCGCAGAGGGGGACTTGTTTGTGTCTGAGACTCTGTGCTGGAGGCAGGACACCCTCCTGGAGCTAGACCTGCTCTGCGATGTACTCACAGGAAATGGGTTGAATGCTAAAGTCAATCACGCCATCCACTGGCGTGTGGGGCAGGGCCCCTTTAGGCAGGGCCACCTAGGAAAGCTGTTATTGAAGGCAGCTCAGTCTGATTCAGGGATTGTGAGCAGGAGGAGGAGGAGAAGCATCAACAGCAGCCCCCAGTTTCAGCCCCCAATGTACCAAGTGTCTGTGGCAGAGAATAAGCCAGCTGGGACTCCTGTTGTTGTTTTGAAAGCAGTGGATGTGGATGAGGGGGAGGCAGGCAGGCTGGAGTATTTCATAGAGGCTCTTTTCGATAGCCGTTCCAACAACCTCTTTGCTGTGGACCCGGCCACCGGTGCCGTGTCCACAGTAGAGGTGCTGGACCGGGAGACAAAAGACACCCATGTGTTTCGTGTGACAGCAGTTGACCACGGCACACCTCGACGTACAGCCATGGCCACCCTCACTGTCACAGTCAGTGACACAAACGATCACGACCCTGTGTTTGAGCAGCAGGACTATAAGGAAAGCATCAGAGAGAATTTAGAAATAGGCTATGAGGTGTTAACTGTGAGGGCCACTGATGGGGATGCACCTGTCAATGGCAACATCCTTTACCACATCCTCAACAGCAACGGGTCCAATGATGTGTTTGAGATTGATTCGAGGTCTGGTGTAATCCGCACCAAAGGCCTGGTAGACAGAGAGGAGGTAGAAGCTTACATGCTGTTAGTTGAAGCAAATGACCAAGGTCGTGACCCCGGGCCCCGCAGCGCCACAGCTACTGTTCATATAGTGGTAGAGGATGATAATGACAATGCTCCACAGTTCAGTGAGAAACGTTATGTGGTCCAGGTGCCCGAGGACATGACCCCTAACACAGAGATCCTGCAGGTCACCGCCACAGATCAGGACAGAGGGGGAAATGCTCTCGTTCACTTCAGTATCATGAGTGGAAACACCAGGGGACAGTTTTATATTGATGCTCAGACAGGTAAAATGGACCTGGTGAGTCACCTTGATTATGAGGCAAACAAAGAATACACTCTGAGAATTCGAGCTCAGGATGGAGGACGCCCTCCGCTATCCAACATCAGTGGCCTGGTGACGGTGCAGGTGTTGGACGTTAATGATAACGCCCCCATTTTTGTCAGCACCCCATTCCAGGCCACCGTGCTGGAGAACGTGCCGCTGGGCTACTCCATCATCCACATCCAGGCAGTGGATGCAGACTCTGGAGACAACTCCAGGCTGGAGTATCGCCTCACTGAAACCACACCAAACTTCCCCTTCACCATCAACAACAGCACGGGGTGGATTGTAGTGGCGGCCGAGCTGGACAGGGAGAGTGTAGATTTTTACAACTTTGGAGTGGAGGCCCGCGATCACGGCTACCCTGTCATGTCCTCCTCAGCCAGTATTAGCATGACTATTCTGGATGTCAACGACAACAACCCGGAGTTCACTCAGAAGTCGTATTACATGCGACTGAATGAGGATGCAGCCGTGGGGACCAGCGTGGTGACAGTGTCGGCTGTGGACCAGGACATTAACAGTGTGGTGACCTATCAGATATCCAGCGGAAACACCCGCAACAGATTCTCCATCACGAGCCAGAGTGGAGGGGGGCTCATTACACTGGCACTGCCTTTAGACTACAAGCTGGAGCGACAATATGTCCTCACTGTCACTGCAAGTGACGGTACTCGCTTTGACACCGCCAAAGTGTTTGTTAATGTCACAGATGCCAACACACACCGGCCTGTGTTTCAGAGCTCACATTACACCGTCAACATTAATGAGGACCGGCCTGTGGGCACCACTGTTGTTGTAATAAGTGCCACAGATGAAGACACGGGTGAGAACGCACGCATCACCTACTTTATGGACGACAGCATCCCTCAGTTTGACATCGATTCAGACACAGGAGCTGTCACCACACAGATGGAGCTGGACTATGAGGACCAGGTTTCATACACTCTCGCCATCACTGCTCGGGATAACGGCATCCCACAGAAGTCCGACACCACCTACCTGGAGATACTGGTGAATGACGTTAACGACAACTCCCCCCGCTTCCTCCGAGACCACTATGTGGGTTCTGTGATGGAGGACGTGCCGGTGTTCACCAGCGTGGTCCAGGTTTCTGCCACCGATCGAGACTCTGGGCTCAACGGGCGAGTCTTCTACACCTTCCAGGGCGGGGAGGATGGCGATGGAGACTTCATAATTGAATCCACCT